GTTAAACAGTTAACGGTCGGAGTTCGAAGCTCCGAACCGGAGCAGCTCCTCCACCGGGACCGTCCGTGGAGCGACGCCGGCCTCACTCACCTCCTGCTCGGACTCGCTGTCGGGCTCCTCCGGACTCTGATCCTCGTCCCGGATCGTTCCGATCAGACCGAGCTGCTCCAACATGACGGACTGCGGTTCTAACGGTTCTAATGGGTTCTGGAGAGGTTCTCTGCAGTCCGGTCTTCACACACACACACAGACACACGTGTGTTGACGGAACCAGGAAGTGACGGCAGCCCTTCTTCTTCTTCTACTTCCTCTTCTTGTTCTTGTTGCTCTCAGTGTCGCCTCCTGCCGGAGGACCGAGGAGCTGCTGTACCCGTTAGAATATCTGGAGGAACCACTTACGGTTCCAGAATATTCTTTAAAAGAACCATTATTGCCAAAAGTTACCTAAAGAACCCTCAAAGAACTCATTTAGGTTCCGTTAGCCGCCATAACTCCAAAGACCTTCCGCCAGTATCGGTTCTTTGAGGAACCATTTCCAGAACGGTTCTGTGTGGATCCACCTGGTTCAGTAAAGAACCTGTTTTTAATCGATCTTCAGTAAATTTCCAAATAAATGGTTGTTTTTCGACCAGATTGTTCTGAGCAGGGAGAAAAACGAGAACCCAGTCGGACCCGTGGTTCTTTTCTGACGTTTCTTTTTGACTTCATTCAGTTCTGGATCACCAGCTGTCAGAACAAACAAGTGATTCCTCTTCAGCAGGTTTTGGATTCTTCATGTCTGGAGAGTTGCCTTTTCTTTCGATATTTCCAGTGATATATATCTACGAGGTCAATACATTTATTTTTGGGGTGAACAAAGTTTTTCTAACTTCAAAGAGCCGTCACATGTTTCATAGATTTCATGTGAAAACTCACAACATTTATTCATCAGAAATTCAAACACAAGTCACTGCAACATTCTGATATTTCTAACAAGACAAACCTATTTTGATAAAACCCGATTATTTTCTGCATTATTAACTAACCATTTGTCACATAACCACATTAAAGGTGATTTTGTGTGTAAATAAAAGTCATTCAATCATAAAAAGCCAAAAAAGACACATGAAGTCAAAATAATGTTACAAAGTGAATATTATTAATTGGGAAATAACTATATTTTCATGAGATGTTTACTTTATGTTACAGTAGTTGGTAACGGGGCTGCCATCAGTGCTGTCAGTGTGGCTCCACTGGGTTCTTCTCTGTAGGAACCGGGTCAGCGCGACCAGGACATCGAACTCTGTGACTCTGGAATAAACCTGGAAACGCTGCAGCTGAAGGTTTTCTCGGCTTGTTTACTGCAGAGCTGAAAGTTCTGGCAGCGTCTCAGAGGTCCTCCCAGACTATCTGATGTTCTTTCAGCCTGGAGTCTGCATGTTTGAGAACATGGACGGAAATATTCACATCCTCTGAAACAGGAGTCTTATTGACTTAGACCCAGGTAATGATCAGATTCCAGTTTTCTGACCTGCAGCTGCTGCGTTTCTGTTGTTTCCATTGGTTCAGGTTCATCACTGTGTTTGTTTCTACTTCCAGAGTGGTGTTAATGTTGGATTCTTTGATCCATGATGACTGAACACAGCTGGAACCCACACTGAGCTCCTGTTCATGTGAAGAACCCCATTAAACAGCAGAACATCCTGGAAAGTAAGTAAGTTGAGACTGGTCATGAAAGGAGACGGAAAACAGAGAACATGTTGGAGATACGAAGGGAGGTCATAAAGTTCATAGAGCAAGGTTTCCATTGCAGCAGACCAGAGATTGTGCTATTATGTTTCAATATAGTCCCCATTAACCTCAATTGCATTGTCTAGATATATCAAGAACTTCTGTGTTACATTTGACTGAATGTCGTTTTACAAACTTTTGAACTCCCCTTGTAAAAGCAACCGTCCATCCCCAATCTGACACCATTTACCTGATAACAAACACTTCAAGTACATTAAAGTTATTAAAATCAGTCCAGTGTATCTGTTTGGCAACCAAATATCTGCCATACATGAAGAAAAACTGCTTTTCTGCATTCTGTTTCTCAATGTTCTGTAGGTGGAACCTGGTTGTAAAAACCCAGTAGAACCCTCTCTACATGTAGATTTAGAGGGTAGATGTAGGGTTAGAGGATAGATGTAGGGTTAGAGGATAGATGTAGGGTTAGAGGGTATCTATCTATCTATCTTTTTTGTTTTTGAAGATTTTTTTTAATATAAAAAGAGGGACATTTGTCATGCATTTGGAAGCAATAAATTGTTTAAGATAGCATAAAAGTCTATAATGAATACCAACAAAGATTTGGGCGACGTGAAAGTCCTGGATAGGGTTCATCTGACAGTGTTTTGTGTTTTTCTTTAAGTTGACCTCATAAGGGTTTTCCAGCAGAAACGTCTCCATCACAGCGAACTGGAAGTTTTCCAGCTCTGGTGTAACGCTGGAACATTCCTGGACTGCTCCTCAGTGAGTTACAGTCTGCTTGTTTGTTTGACTTGACGTTGACTCCTGAGCTTCTCTGACCACGTTCAGTCCGAGTTCTTCCTCTTTATGTACGTCGTTAAATGCAGGAGAAATCATCGTTCAATCCGTGTTGCATCATTCAGTCCTGAGCACTCTTTGTGCCGTTACAACGACTGTTATTTCAGCTTTCGGTGTTTCAAAGACATGACGGGATTTATAGCGACAGGACTCCTGTCACGTTGCCACAGTAACCTGGAACACCGTATACTCTAGCTGAACACTTTCAGGAAAACTTTGACAGTTTCAAGGTAACAGTCGACAGAACTACAACCCCAACAACCAAATACATCAGACAAACAGAGAGTCTGTGTGAGGAGGAGGAGGAGGAGCAGGAGGAGGAGCAGGAGGAGGAGTCAGAGTCGGTCTCTGGGGGAAAACAGTGGACAGACAGACCGAGGCTCACTGTGGATGAAGACTGAAGAACAGAAACTCCACATCGAACGGAGCTCCTCCTTCAGTCTGCTGATCTGTGAGTTTCATCATTTTCACATTCAGAGTAAAGTTCAGAGCTGAGGGGAAGGCAGGCAGACAGACAGTCAGACAGTCAGTCAGACAGACAGACAGACAGACAGGTTATAAACAGGTGAACTGAGCGTCGTCATGGACAGGTGAGTAGAAGCTGCTGGTTCAGGCACCAGAAGCTAAATCCTCCTGCTGCCTTCACGCTGTGAGTACGCTGCTCTTGGGTTGAGGAGTCTGAGGAGCGTTAAGCCTCAGAGGAAGTCGGACTCGTTTGGTTTCTTCTAAACTTGATTTCACGAGTTGACTGAACTCTCAGCTGTTCATTCATTTAAATCAGCGTTTTAAGTCCAAACACCTCAAGCGGTCACGTGTCTGAGATCTTCTGTGGTCTGACAACGGAAACTGAACACTTTAGGTTCAGTTATTTTAGAAGCAAAACTCATGTGTTCACATGAGCCGAGTTACAAAGGACTTGATTCTTCAGTCTGTTTGTGGTTGGTGCGTCGCTGATTTGAGGTGGAGTTGTTCCAAATCACCCCACTGCCGGGTCCGCTGGGTTCTCCTGACTGGACCTCTGAGGTTCCTCCTTCAGCTCAGAGCAACACTCAAGTCTAAAAAGGTTTAGCACAAAGCTATAAGTGTGGAAACAGGACAGAGATGAGACATCAGTGAGCAGAGCAGTGAGGCATGAAGCAGCACGAAGACGACCACGTTCCCGCAGCAGAACGTATCTAGAACTGAGCCCAGATCTGCTCCTCTTTCAGCTGCAGCCTTCTAATTAGAGGTTAGCAGCTAGCGGTTAGCTGCTAGCAGCTGTCCAGATGTCCAGATGTGGTTGCGGCAGCAGCTGCGTGCTGATTGGCTGTCGTCACTGAGCTGTAATTAAACACACAGATTACAGGCTGGATGTGGGCGGAGCTTCACGTGTCAATATTTGTGAGGACTTTCTGTTTAGAAAGGCTTCAGACCTGATGATTAGTGTGTGTGTGTGTGTGTGTGTGTGTGTATGTAGGTGTGTGTGTCTCTGTGTGTTTGTGTGTGTGTGTCTGTGTGGGTGTGTGTATGTGTGTGTGTGTGTCTGTGTGTTTGTGTGTGTCTATGTGTGTGTGTGGGTGTGTGTGTGTGTGTGTTTGTGTGTGTGTGTGTGTGTGTGTGTGTGTCTATGTGTGTGTGTGTGTTTGTTTGTGTGTGTCTCTGTGTGTTTGTGTGCGTGTGTGTGTCTATGTCTGTGTGTGTGTGTGTTTGTGTGTGTGTCAATGTGTGTGTCTGTGTGTGTTCGTGTGTGTCTATGTGTGTGTGTTTGTGTGTGTGTGCATGTGTGTCTGTGTGTGTGTGTGTTGTCCTTTGGTTCCAGTAACTCCTCATCTTCTAACGTTTCATCCTTCTGTGATATTTGAGGAAACGTTCTGACCTCCAACAGCGACACTTTAAAGTTTCGTCGGTTCTCCAATCGGACTGGTTCTCCAATCGGACTGGTTCTCCAGTACTTTGGTCTCAGCTGCCTCTGCAGACGGATTGAATGGAGATGCAGAGACCAGCGTGTTCCCTTGAAGACACGTGAATCAGCTGTGATGAAGCCTCAGCAGTCTGAGCTCAGTGTTGTGAAACGGAGGTTACTGCAGTTCAAGCTCAGCTCTGTTTGTCTGAGAAATGTGTTCAGCTGGAGACTCAGCAGGAGGCTCGAAAACACCAGATCTGTGGTCCACACTGCCACCACCTCCAAGCTGCCTGTCTGCGTACACTCTCCCGTTTTAGAAACACATCCAAGGTGTTCTAGCAAAGACATTAGTTGTGAAGCCCAAACACAGGACTTTCTCTGTAAACCGTTCTGATTCAAGTGTTTCCAGTTTGGTTGAACAGAAGCTACAAAGATCTCAGAGCTGCAGGTTCCATCAGACACAAAACAAACCACAGCAAGCCCAAAACAAACAAGTAGGAGGCCTGTGAGTCACAGTTCAGGGTACATAGCACCGACTGCTCTCCTGCTGCAAGTGTTTACCTGTTCACACCTGCTCTCACCTGTTCTCACCTGCTCTCACCCGTTCTCACCCGTTCTCACCTGTTCCAAACTGTTCTCCTTGTTCACATCTGTTCTCACCTGTTCACACCTGTTCTGAACTGTTCTCCTTGTTCACACCTGTTTTCCCTGTTCACACCTGCTCTCACCTGTTCTCACCTGTTCTCCTTGTTCGCATCTGATCTCACCTGTTCTGAACTGTTCTCCCTGTTCTCACCTGTATTCAACTGTTCTCTGTGATCATAGCTGTTCTCACCTGTTCTCCTTGTTCACATCTGTTCTTGCCTGTTCACACCTGTTCACACCTGTTCTCCTTGTTCACATCTGTTCTCACCTGTTCTGAACTGTTCTCCCTGTTCACACCTGCTCTCACCTGTTCACAC